AATGATGTACTGAATTCACAAGAACAATTATACACTCAAAAACTTCACAAACACTCCACACTCATCTCTTTCATACTCGGGTTTTAAAATCTACCATTTTCATTTTGTCTTATGGTGCATGGAATTTCTTCTAAGCCTTCATAAAAAGGTTCACTTCCTTTGCGAATTGACGCTTGTGAATTGCTTAAAACGCAAAAATGCATGAACAGATGCTGGTTTGTGACGCTTAAGGCACTGGTTCTTAGCGCTAAGCGCTGAAGATCCAAGGCCTCCTTTCTGCTCGCTTGATTTACATGCAAGGTTTTTCGGCGCCTAAGCGCCCATATATAGCACAAAGACGTTTAGGTCATGAGACTTAGACGTTTGGTTGGTCATGGTGCCATGACAAACCCAATGCCTAATTTCCAGCTTCTATGTCATTATGGTTCAAAAGTCCTCAATGAGCGCCTATGCTCTCCAGCTGACACTTGAGCACTGCACCTCTACCTTGTTCAGTTATTAAATTCTCAAGCTCCCATGAACCTTCTAACTTGAATTCTACAAAATACAACACAAACACATTTTAAAAGCATTAAATTAACATAAAAAAATATTAAAATAAATGATAAAACGAACGATTTTCAGTGCACATCATAGATGTAATGACAAATTGATAGATTTAGAAAAGGAAAACTTTATCATTAGCATGTTGGGGTGTAATGAGATATTGTTAGAATAAAATGAACCTTATCCAAGCAGTGTTGTGAGTCCAATAGAGATGGGTTTGCCCGGTCCTTTGTGGGAGTAGTGTTATAAGTCCATCTTTGCTGCATTTTCTTCGCTAGATTAGGTTTCAAGGTTTTACTTGCTTAGTAAAACTTACCTTTAGCTTTAGGATTTTGTGGTTGTTCGTCTAGCTACAATGTAAGTCCCCATCTCCTAGTCTTTCCTACGATCGAATATCATGGGATACAAGTTCTAAACTCACTAAGAGAATGTCAACTCAAATATAAAAATATTTTCAATTTCAAAATCAAGAAAACCAAACAATAAGATAGTCGAAATATAACTACCAAACAATAAGATAGTCGAAATATAACTAAGCCTCTCAATATCTGGTCATTCCCTAGTTTTTCTCCTTTGGGTTCAAAAAAAAAAAACAATTCCTATTTGATCTTTCTCATTTGAAAATCCAAATAAGCAATTGTAAAAGCCAAAATTTTAAATTCTTGAAGACAACCTCAGCCTTAATTGAGAGTATTCCTAAAAGATTTTTCTATCTTAAGATGCAATTAACTATAGGGGTTTGCTTAGAGTTGTTACATTTCATAAGAATGTAACTTCCACGACCACTATAAAAGTTATAAAAACTATCTTTATAAGGAAAAAAAAAATCATATTTCTAGACAAAAGAGGTTGAAACATGGTATTTAGATTAAATTCAATCTCCAAAAAACTTAAAATAGCAATGTGACGCTTTTGGACTAGTCTTTAGCAATCTTTGATCATGCTACTGTTTGGAGCCTTATAACATTCCAAGCAACTATATTGAGAGTTCACATCTAGGATTGAAGGAGCTATTTGTGAACTTCCTTTTTCTTCAACTTTTTTGACCTTTCAATGTAGACATATGAGTATGCTTGTCATTTTTGCTCATAGTAATGTGAAAAGTTGGTTTGAAGCCACCAAGAAGGGAATACACATCCATATGAGTTTGTTAAGTGTTGATGATTGCAAAAGTTGGACTGGATTAACATTTAGCACATAGTGGTCACTATTTTGAGTGTGAAACACATTTTTGTCACAAGAGGAGGGGAGGTTTGAAGAGGAGTTTGGTGTAGAAGCAGAAGATTCAACGATAGGGAAAGGAGTTTGAGAGTGGAATAGGCCATTTATGATAAATGTAATATTGGAAGTCAAGAGAAAGCGTTGATTTGGAGAACAATAGTCTTGAGAAAAGCACACCCTTCCATCATTTATTATCTAATGTTTTATTTCAAAGGGAGAAAAGATTTCTATTTTTACCCCTTATAGAGAAAGAAATGGAATATTTGGTATTCAGAGGGACTGTAGAGTTGTCATGTAAAAAAGAATTGGAAGGCTTGCACAATTGAATTTTCATTTGTAATGAATCACATGCTAAAATTGAAGGCAACAGAGATTGATAGGAGCCAATTGTAGGAGTAATGTTATAGGTGAACAAGAAAACCATTGCAAAAGAAACATATAGCTTCAAATTAATTTGAATATTGGTTGTCGAAGTGATTCCAACCTTGCTAGTAATTTTGGATAAGCCTATATTATTGCATCAGATGAGAAGAAAGTTAAGAAGTTTTATCCAAACGAAGAACTTCCAAAAAATTTGTTTGATATTGTTGAAATCCCACCTTCATGTTTTAACCTAAATGGATATCTATTAAGAAAATTGGGAGCACCACCCCCAAAATTTTCAAAACCCTCTTTGTAGAGAAAATTAAATAGAAATAATTCACTTTAGAGCTCTTATTGTCTTCTGGTCACGCCTATGAGTAACAAAAAAATTGCTTAACTTTAGCATATCCAAACAACAAAAACTTTATTCCTTTGCCACTCTCTCAAAACAATAAATTTTGCAAGGGATAACTTGAAAATAAAATTGTACAAGAGCTTATTTAATTCTAAGGCTTAAGAGCGTAAAATAAAAAAGGGAATTTTAATTTTTTATGCTTAACTTGTAGTAGATTAATATAATACATTTATAAGAGAATTTAATATATATATATTAATAATGCATTGGGAATTTGCTTAAATTTTACAAATTCTAATTATAAAGATAACTTGTACATGATAAATTTACTTATTTTTAATTACGTGTCACTTTTACCTTTGTCTACCCCAGCCCATTGTTGTCTCATGTTATTGCCACTCGCCCAATACCTATCATCTCATGTCTGTCACCCGCTCTAGTTCTTGCCACAGTTCTATGTGTGTTTACATATGTAATACCTAAATATTACTTTTTAAAAGTGAAATGCACATTTTCATGTATTAGTTAGGGTTGCAAGGCATATGCATATAGACAGGCTTGAACCTATGACCTCGGGGAACTTAGAACTAATTTTGCAGATGACAACCAAAAATTCACGGCGAGCGGCACATCACATATATATATGTATGTATGTATATATTAAAGAAATGACCTGAGGCTATTATACAAGACTCCATTCTCCTTAAGGCCAACTATACTAGAGGGAATTCGAACACCCGACATGAGAGTTCTTATAAATTCATGAGAGTTCTTATAAATTCTTAGAGAATTTTTTTTTTAGCTTGTAGCAAAATTTATTAAACTATCGTCCCATTTGGATTTACAGTGATCGGTTGTCCAGCCCAGAAGTTTGATTGAGATCCCTCTTCAAACAGCCCAATGGGCCCCCAGCTCGCATGAAAGTTAATCCAAAACTAGTGAAATGCCTTTTTCCTTTTCATTTGCCCGTACCGGTCCCCTTGGAAGTAGGGGTGTAAACGAACCGAACACGAACGAACAAAGCTTGTGTTCGTGTTTGGTTCGTTTAAAATTTAGTTTGTTTGAAATAAGCTCGTGTTCGTTTCTTAACGAACGAGCCGAACACGAACCGAACACGAGTTGTTCGCGAACGATGAGCCAATTTGACATCTCTAATATTAATATATAAAAATAATATTATATATTAATTATATAACTTATATTATATAAATATATAATATCTATATTAGTATATTACTACTATAGTATATTAATATATTATTATTATTATTTTATTATATATTATAATTTATAAAATTTAATGTTTTAAAATATAATAAATTTTTTATATATAATTATTTTATATTATTTTATATTTCAAACAATAACGATTCAAACACGAACGAACGCATCACTGTTCGTGTTTGGTTCGTTTAACTAACCGAACGAAAAAAATTTGTTCGTGTTTGTCTCGTTTACTTATCGAACGAATCGAACACGAACTCATTGACGAACCGAACACGAACTGTTCGCGAACAACGAGCTTTTTTGACAGCCCTACTTGGAAGCATAAAATTTGTAAAATAGAACCAAAAATCTCGTTGGAATTTAAGTGAGCTCAATTATCTATTTATAGTAACAAATTTATTTTTGTAATTTTGGATGATTTTATACCTATTTTGAAATTCTTATTTCTACTTCTTTATATCCACAAATAAATGGTTTTAATTGTATATATTCCAGAAAAAAAATTATACATTTGAATGAAAAATTTGCAAAAAAATTGGAAAATTATAAAAAAGATTACTGGGCCTTAATTACTCTTAATGTTATTTACACCCTTTTTGATATGTTGGAAAAATCATAAATCGATTTTGAAAGTTTCAATTAGTAAACTAATTACTTAACAGTAAAACACACGTTCGAACAACGGTCTGGATGCGGTCACATCGCAGTAGCTCGCACGGCGGTCCATCCGGACGTCAGCTGCCGCACATAATAATTTCTCGCTCAAAAGACATAGCTACAATTAAGATGATGAGGTTGTAGCTGAATTTTAAGAATAAAAATTAAGATGCGGCTAAAATCACAATTTGTTTTCATAAAAAGATCAAAATACATAGTTTTATACAAAAATCTCAATACATTAGAGAAAGATTCATATACATGATGCATATACGGTACGTTTCTTACCAGAATGAAGAACATTAGTGGATACATGCATGATATTTTATTTAATGGGGTTGTTTACATACATAAGGCCCAATTCTTATGTATTTATATATCCAACATCTAAACATTGCTTCTTATATTTATAACACTGAGACCTTTCATAACACATCAAAAATGTCATTATTTGAACTTTCAAAACATGAAATACACCTTTTATGTATATATAAGACGTCGTATCTGTAAAAATCAAACTTTATGTGTTAGATATATAAATATACAAGAATTGAATGATACGTATGTAAATCTTCCTTAAAATAAGCAAAGCAATACATCAATCTTCTGGAAAAAAATATGTATATGTCAATTCAAGTAAATGTGTTGGGCAAACAGACATAAAAAGAGTCATATATTAATATTTTGTTTGATGGTGTTTCAAACAAACTCAACAAAACAGTTATATACTCTTAACTAAGTGAGAGAAAATGCTGTATGACTCAAATAAGCATCAGCCAACATCTGACCAAGCCTTACTTGAGCTTGGGTTGTGAGGTGCACATAATCAGGTCCAATTGGCAAGCCTTTTGCATCAACACATAAGACATTGTGAAGTCTGATCCCCTTTTGTGCTTTTCTCACCATATCTATATATTTCCCTTGTCCTGTTGCAAGCGCCACCTGCACATACTCTCATTCAGAAAAAAAAAAAGGAAGATTTACAAAAATACCAATCAATTCTTATGCACTATTATTAGAAATGATGATACATTTTTGAAACCACATTAGATGAAATAGTTTTCATTATGAAAATAAGAGAATTAAGGTGTGGAAGGCATCATGAACAGATGATTCATGGCCTGCTCAGTTGTTCTCTTTATGTAACAGGAGATTAACTAAGAAGAAGCTAGTGATAGGACTTCAAAAGTTATGGAGAATAGAAGGTGTTTAGTCTTGGTAGCAAAGGTGGGTGGCAAACATAGCCTCTATTGGCGATAACAATCCTTAGTGTAATATTAATTATGAGATTTTAAATTTTTTGGGGGCGGCGTTTATATACATAGCACACAATTCTTACGTATTTACATATATTGAACCTAAACATTTACATTTACACACATAATTCAACTCATATTTTTAATATCATATAAAAAAATATCACTATTGCTAGTTTGTTAAAGTGAAAAACACATGTTCATGTATATGATTAAGGCGCACCAAGTGTTTTATATACATTGAAATATAAAAATTTAAGCGGGAGAAACGTCTATACATAAAGAATTGTGTGCTATGTATGTAGATTTCCTAAAACTGATGTGATATATCAGAAAATTGTATGTATTTTATGTACATACTTATCTTATTTCATAAATAACAATCAATTTTTTATCATATCAAATATATCATTATTACTATTTTTTAGAAAAATATATATTTTCATGTATAAGTTTTAGAGAAATTTACACTCATTCCATACAATTCTTATGCATTTACATATCTAACATCAAAAGTTTGGTATTTACACTAATAACATCTTGGTATCCTAAACATAAGCATGAAACCATATATTGCACTTTTTAAAAGGTAATAAAGATGATATTTTTAACGAAAATTTACATACCTAACATCCAATTCTCATGCATTTACTTATCTCACACCCAAACTCTCATTTTTACAAATGAGCACCCTACCTATGGATAAAAATGTGGACTTTACTGTTGGACAGGGGTGAAAAGGGTAAGTTGAGTGTTTGATTTGAAAAAAAACGAGAGTTTGGGTGTCAGATATGTAAATGCATAAGAATTGGTTGCTGTGTATGTAAATTCCCTTATTTTTCAGTGGAATGCAGAGAAAAATGAATGCTTAGGTGTTAGATACATGAAATCATAAAAATTGTGTGGTATGCATCCAAAAAATGCTCCATTTCATATTGCTCAACTCAAGCCTCAAAGATATTATAAATCTAAACAACAAAATTTAGGTATTAGATCTGTAAATACACACATATTATGTGCTAACCACCCCAATTTTATTTCATCTGCAAAAATTCTCTAGTCTCTTCTGCCTGCAATCGGACGGCTAAAAAATCACATACCTGAATAAACAGCAAATCCGGATCACCCAAATCCTCCCTCAGATCCGAAACCAGAGCCTCCATCCTTCCCCCATAAACCTCCGCATCCGCCATAGAAATCGTATCAGTCTCCCCCTGATACCACAGCACCGCCGCCACTCTCCCTCCTCCCGCCGCCGCAAACTGCGCACGCCGCACCAAGTTAGCATACAACGTCGTCCCGCGTTCCCATTCGCGGATCGGCGTCGCTCCGACGGCGCACGGCACGAGGCGAACTGGCGCCGCCGTCCCTTCGGCGGCCCAC